TTTTTAATTTTTTGAGGAACTGCCATACTGTTTTCCACAGCAGCTACAGTTTTACATTCCCACCAGCGGTGCCCAAAGCTTCCAATTTCTCCTGATCCTTGCTTGTTTTTTTCTTTTTTTTAATGGTAGTTATCCTAATTTGTGTGGGATTAGTATCTCCTTTTGGTTGTGATTTGCATTTCCCTCATGATTAGTGATGTTAAACATCTTTTCATGTGCTTATTGGCCATTCATATATCTTCTTTAGAGAAATGTGTATTCGAGTCTTTTGCCTATTTTGAATGGGTTTGTGTGTGTGTGTGTGTATGGTTGAATTGTAGGAGTGCTTTATATATTCTGGATATTAGTCTCTTACCAGATACATGATTTGCAGATATCTCCTCCCATTCTGTGTTTTGCCTTTTCACTTTGTTGATTGTATCCTTCTGTGAACGTAAGTTTTTAATTTTTATAAAGTCTGATTTCCGTATTTTCTATTTTATTTGTGCTTTTGGGGTCATAGCAATAAATCATTGCCAAATCCAGTTTCATGAAGCTTTTCCCATATATTTTCTTCTAAAAGTTTTACAGTTTTAAGGTTTACATTTAGGTCTTTTTTCTGTTTTGAGTTAAATTTTGTATATGATGTAAAGTAAGGGTCCAAATTTTTCTTCCTCATGTGGATAATACAGTGTTCCCAAAGCCATTTGTTGAAAAAAATTGTCCTTTTGGGGTGCCTGGGTGGCTCAGTTGGTTAAGTGTCTGCCTTCAGCTCAGGTCATGATACCAGGGTCCTGGGACCAAACCCCACGTCGGGCTCTCTGCTTATCGGGGAGCCTGCTTTTCCCTCTCCCTCCACCTGCCCCTCCCCCTCCTTGTGCCCTCTCTCTCTCTCCCCCTCCCTCTGTCAAATGAATAAAATCTTAAAAAGAAATTGTCCTTTCTCAGTGCATGGTCTTGGTACCCTAGTGAAAAATCATTTGACTGTGAGGATATTATAGTGAGTGAAATAAGCCAGTCACAAAAAGAGTTTATTTCTGAGGTCTCTATTCCATTCCATTGTTCAATGTCTGTCTTTAGGCCAGTACCACACTGTTTTGATTACCATAGCTTTGTAGTTACTGTTGTACTCAGGAAGTGTGTCCTCCAGCTTTGTCCTTCTTTTTCAATATGGTTTTGACTATTCTGGGTCCCTTGAGATTTCCTATGAATTTTAGGATGGATTTTTCTATTTCTTCAAAAAACATCATTGGGATTTTGATAGGGATTGTGCTGAATCTATAGATCACTTTCTATAGAATTGGCAGTTTAACAATATGAAGGCTTCCAGTCATGAACATGGATGTATTTCCATTATTGGTGTCTAACTTTAATTTCCTTTAGAAATGTATGAATGATCCAGTTTCTCTGAATCCTCCCCAGCATTTTAGTGTTGTCAGTGTTTGTTATTTTAGCTTTTCTAATAGATGTATAGTGATAGCTCATTGTGGTTTTAATTTGCATTTCCCTAGTGGATAATGATGTAGAACATGTTTTCAGTGCTTATCTGCCATCTCTTTATCCTCTATGAGGAAATGTTTCTTTATGCCTTTTGCCCATTTTCTAATTGGATTTTAAATTTTTTACTGTTGTTTTGAGAGTTCTTTATATATTCTACTTTGTCAGGTATGTGATATAAATATGTTCTCCCAGTCTGTAGCTTGTCTTCTCATTCTTTCAACAGGGTCTTTCACAAAGCAAAAGTTTACAATTTTGATGAAGTCCAGTTTATTGATTTTTTTCTTTCTTGGATTATACTATTGGTATCAAGTCTAAGAATTTCATTAAATCTTAAGTTCTGAAGATTTTCTTTTGTTATCTCCTAAAGGTTTTATGGTTTTGGGGTGCCTGGGTGGCTCAGTCAGTTAAGTGTCTGTCTTCGGCTCAAGTCATGATCCCAGGGTCCTGGGATTAAGCCCCGCATCAGGCTCTCTGCTCATCAGGGAGCCTGCTTCTCCTCCTTCTCTCTGCCTGCTGATCTGCCTACTTGTGCTCTCTCTCTCTCTCTCTGTGTCAAATAAATAAATAAAATCTTTTTAAAAAAACTAAAGATTTTATAGTTTTACATTTAAAATTTTAAATCTGTGATCTGTCTTGAGCTCATTTTTGTGTAAGGTACAAAATTTAGGTTGAGGTTCATGTTTTTGTCTGTGGATACCCGTTTGCTCCAAGACCATTTATTGAAAAGACTATCCTTCCATTGTATTGCTTTTGAACCTTTATCAAAAATTAATTAGCTGTATTTGTGTAGGTCTATTTCTGGCAGTTCTATTTTGTTCCATTGATTTATGTGTCTGTCTCTCAATCAGTACCATTCAGTCTTGATTACTTTAGCTATGTAATAAGTCTTGACATCAGAGTGATTCCTCTATTTTTTCTTCTTTTTTTTTAAAGATTTTATTTATTTATTTGACAGAGAGAGAGAGACAGTGAGAGAGGGAACACAAGCAGGGGGAGTGAGAGAGGGAGAAGCAGGCTTCCTGCCAAGCAGGGAGCCTGATGCAGGGCTTGATCCCAGGACCCGGGGATCATGACCTGAGCCGAGGGCAGACGCTTAATGACTGAGCCACCCAGGTGCCCCTCTCTTTTTTCTTCTTTCAAAAATTTTTAGCTATTCTAGTTCCTTTGCCTTTCCATGTAAGTTTTGGGTTAATTTTGTCTATATCTACAGAAAATCTTGGGATTTTGAAGGAATTGTGTTAGAATTGACACCTATACTATCTTGAGTCTTCTAATCCATGGACACAGTGTCTCCCCATTTACTTATATCTTCTTTGATTTCCCTTTTTAAAAAGATTTTATTTATTTATTTAGAGAAAAAGAGCAGGTGTGAGCAGGGGGAGGGGCCGAGGCGGAGGGAAAGGGAGAGAATCTCCAGCATGCTGAGCTTGGAGCCTGACATGAGGCTTGATCTCACCACCCTGAGATCATGACCTGAGCCAAAACCCAAGAGTCTGACATTCAACTGACTGAGCGACCCAGGTGCCCCTTCTATGATTTCCTTTATCAGTGTTTTATAGTTTTTAGCATGTAAATTTATATTTAAATGGCATTGTTTTTTTAATTTTGGTTTCCATATGTTCATTGCTTTGATACAGAAATAGAGTTGATTTATGTTGACCTTGCAACCTTGTTGAACTCACTTATTAGTTCTAGGATTTTCTTTTTTCCTTTTTTTTTTTTAAACTTTTTATTTATTTATTCATGAGAGACAGAGAGAGAGGCAGAGGGAGAAGCAGGCTCCCAAGGAGCAGGGAGCCGATGCAGGACTCGATCCCAGGACCCTGGGATCATGACCCGAGCCGAAGGCAGACGCCCAACCATCTGAGCCACCCAGGCGCCCAGTTCTAGGATTTTCTTATAGATTCCATGAGATTCTCTACATAGGCCATTATGTCATCTGCAGATAAGGATAGTTTTATTTTCTCCTTTTCAATATGTATGTCTTTTATTTCCTTTTCTTGCCTTATTGCACTAGCTAGAACTTCCATTATGTTGAATAGGAGTGATGAGAGCAGACTTTTTTTTCTTGTTCCTCCTTTTAGGGCAGGAGCATTCAGTCTTTCACTATTAAATATAATCTTAATTCCTAGTTTTCTGAGTGTTTTTATTGTGAACAAGTGTTGAATTTTGTCAAATGATTTTTCTGCATCAATTATATGGTTGTGTAATTTTTTTTCTTCTTTAGCCTGTTAATATGATGGATTACATTGATTGATTTACCAATAATGAACCAGCCTTGCATCCCTGGGATAAACCCCTCTTGGTCATGGTGCATAATTCTTTTTATATGTTGTTGAATTCTATTTACTAATATTTTATTAAGGGTTTTTAGAGCTATATTCATGATGGATATTGGTGTATAGCTTTGTTTTCTTGGAGTACTGTCTTTGGTTTAGATGTTAGGTAGTATATGTGAACATCATGAGGGAAGGCAATGATAATGACAACTAAGTTATGGAATGGATTTTTTGGGAGTGGAAACATCAGAAAGAATCCATGGGAAAAAAAGAACTCAGAGAAGAGAAATAATGTTGTTTGGTTGAATACTGTTGTTTGGTTGAATATAGGGCAGTGCGATGGAGCAGATTCAGCGAGGGGTGGGGATGAATTCTGACTGTCGTAGATGGAACGGTTAGCGTAGTTGGTTTGTGGAGGATCTTAGTTAATAATGATGTGGTAAGGCTGAGATTGTGCTGACCATAGGGAAAAAATTAAATATAGGAGTCTTAGGGAATGAGTAGTGGAGGCAGATCCTGGACCCAGAGGTGACAGGGAGAGATATAGTGGAAGGATCAGTCTTAGGCAGGAAATTGAGCATCTTTTTCTGGGACTGCTGGGAAGGAGGAGGGGTTGGTATGGAGACCCTGGGATCCTTAGAAGTGATATTAATGTCTGGGAGTGCCTCTCCTTATGCTTTGTTTGGGAGGAGGGAGTATCGCTAAGGCCACAGCAATAGACCTGCCCAGAAAGGGGGACAAATACCCTTGGCTGACACTCTAACTGCGGGTAGTTGTGATGATGAATCAGAGCTTCATTTAGATCCTTAAACCAATTTTTTGGTTTTTATATGTTTTTCATTTTTGTTTTTGGAAAACTGATGAGGACCACAGTTGGGGCAAATAAGTGTGGAAACTCTTCTTTGATAATCCTCAAAAATGAGAAGTCATCAGAGAGCATTCTGATCAGCTGCTGGGTCCCAGTCCTGTCTAGCATTGACCATGAGAGGGCCTTTGGCTCCACTCTCTATTGAGCCACAGAGCCACAGACTGTCCAGTTTGTAATCAGCGGTTCAGATTAGGCTTCAGATAAATTCTGCATAATCTCTTCTAGAAGATAGAAGAGAAGGGAGTACTTCCCAGTTCATGTTAATAGTTCTGATACCAAACCAGGCAAGGACCAGTTTCCATCCCTAGCATCATTCCTCCTCCTCATGCCTTTGTGTGCTGGCACTCAGGAGCTGATTTCTGTTCTTGTTGCAGCTGCAGCCGACTCCGCCAGGTTCAGAGCATCTTGACCCAGAGCAGCAAGTCTCGACCTGATGGGATCCTCTGCATCCTAGGTCAGTGCTTTTAACAAGGTGGGGCAACTTGGCTTCCTTTCAAGGAAGATATTAATAATAGTATCATTGTGAGATAAGCTTGAGGTAGTATCCTTCTCCCAGCTCTTGTTCCCTTGAAATCTGGTGCTGTTCTCATAAGATCAGGTGAGCTATCAGTGGGATAAGGAGGCCCTACCACAGGGCAAGCACTTTGTACATGTTATCTCATTTCTCCTCACAGCAGCCTTGCAAGGGAGCAGCGTTGTCTCTTTTTACAGAGCGGGAAACTGAAACTCTAGGAGATGAGACAGACTTGCTCAGGACCATAGAGTGGCAGAACTGGGCATTCATTTGTTCTTTATAATTTTTTTTTATTGTGAAAATGCATCATATAACTTAAAAATTAAGACAATACACAAATGATAATGAACAGAGCTTCCTAACCATCCCTGATACCCAGTTCCATTCCCCAGAGATAGCATTGCCAATTGAATCTTTTTTTTTTTTAACACAAATGGGAACATTTTATTCAAACTGTTGTTAACCTAATTTTTAAATTTTCACTTAACAATGTATCTTGGAGATTTTTCTGTATCAGATTGATCTTCTTTATCTCATTTTCATTTATACCCGTAGTATTGAGTCGTGGAAGTGGAATTGTTAAGTGTGGTGGTTTGTCCATCAAACACCCAAGTTCCTTCTCAGAAGCAAACCACTACTAGGTTCTTGTTTATCTTTCCTCATATATTCTATGTATGATTTTGTGTTTTCACTTAACCGCACTTGCTTTTAAGCTTATGAGAGGCAGTGTGCAGAGTGGTTAAAAACATGCAGTCTGGAGCTAGGCAGGTTTTGGGTTTGAATCCTGGTTCCACTACTCAGCCCAGAGGTTGGTAGGTCTCCATAAAAACACAGTTGTGGTACAATAACCAAGCTGTGGAGAGTCCAGATGTCCATCGACAATGGATAAAGACGATGTGGTATATATAGCCAATGGAATACTACTCAGCCATCCAAAAAAATGAAATCTTGCCATTTGCAACAACGTGGATGGAACTAGAGGGTATTATGCTAAGCGAAATAAGTCAATCAGAGAAAGACAAGTATCATATCTCACTCATATGTGGAATTTAAGAAATAAAACAGGATCATAGGAGAGGAGAGGGAAAAATAAAACAAGATGAAATCAAAGAGGGAGACAAACCATAAAAGACTCTGAATCATAGGAAACAAACTGAGGGATGGTGGAGGGGAGGGGAATGTGGGACGGGGTAACTGGGTGATGGACTTTAAGGAGGGCACATGATGGAATGAGCACTGAGTATTATATAGGATTGATGAATCACTGAACTCTATTTCTGAAACTAATAAAATACTGTATGTTAATTAATTTAAATAAAAATTTAAAAATTAAAAAAAAATAGTGGCTGATGCCAGCAGAGAACAAAGAATGCCTCTTGACCATATACACTCAATACACACACACACACCCCCCCGCACAAGCCCTCTTTGAAACTTAAATGGTATTTAGGGGAGAAAATGAAGGGCAGAACCTTAAAAATGCCTAAGTTTGAAATTTAAAAAACCGCAATAATTTTACTGAGCTTACTTGGGAAAAAGTGATCAAGTTTTCTGCTTTTAGAAGGAAATGTGGACTTATGATAGAAATTACATTATTTTTTGTTAAAGCTGTATTTTACCTAAAAACAAAGCAAAACCAAACCACAGTTGTGGTGGGCCTGGAATTCCCGCCAAAAGTTTCAAATGTTTAAACAACATTCATTGGATTCTCTCTCCAGCTGCAACCCTCAGAAGGGTGGGGGCTGTCTTTGCCATGAATTTACCTATGAATAAAAGCACCTGTTCATTACTGTACTTATGCTGTCATTTCAGTTGGCTTCTGTGTCCCTCCCTTTGACATACCCCCCCAATCAAAGTTTTGTTTGTTTAGCACTTCTGTACTTTATGGCACTATAAGATACTCTAGGCTTATTTTATATATTTCCTGCTCCAGTCCTAGAATCAGCCATTTCTCCAAGGAGTGCTGGGGTTCCTTTTATTGGAGAATGGTATTAGAAATCAGAATCTGGGCATTGGATACACTCTTGTTACTACTGGGATGTCATTGCTCCTAGGCCCTGGGGCAACTGACAGAGTAACAAAATACTTGTGTGTACATTACCTGTAAATGTTATGTAACCATCTGTATATTAAGCTAAATGTGAATTCATATTAATGTCTCCATCCTACCCAGTTACCACATAGGTTATTCTAGTTTCCCCCTTTTGCTTATCTGTAAACTTCTACTTCACCAATAGGAAACTTGGCACCCATCATCCACCATTAGTTTACTTGTTTAATTCCAGTGTACATGTATAGCAGTATCAGAATTGTTAACTCATAATACCCCTATGAGAAACAACTTTGTCAGCTAAAGCATAGTGCCTACATAGAGTTTCTTTTGCCTTTAATTTTACATGGTTAGTCTTTTTCATGTCAGCAATTTATGCAGCTGGAACCATTAGAAGTTGCCATGCTGAGGCCAGGTCTGCTCAGTCTGCCATTTATTTTTCACTCTGTAGCCCTTTAAACTTTGGGCCTTAGATAGGCCAGTCCATTCTGGCTTTTGATTCTTTTTCATTTTTTTTTATTTTTTATTTTTTTTAAATGTTTTACTTATTTATTCATGAGAGTCAGAGAGAGAGAGAGAGAGAAAGGCAGAGGCAGAGAGAGAAGCAGGCTCCCCGCCTAGCAGGGAGCCCAATGTGGGACTCGATCCCAGGACCCTGGGATCATGACCTGAGCCGAAAGCAGACGCTTAACCATCTGAGCCACCCAGGCACCCCTGATTCTTTTTCACCCCTCCCTTCACTGAAGCATTGAATGGGATAGAACAGGGCTGTGCTGCTTTGATCTCAGCTTAGAAGGGAGTTCTCTTATATTAGAGGTCGTCTGCCATAGGCAGTCCCTGGGCCCATCTGCTCTAAATGACCATTACTTTTTTTCACTTGTCTGAATGACCATTGACAGTCCTCTTTCCCAGGCTCTAGCCTTATTTCTGTTCTTGGAGCTCTTTCTGCTCCAATTCCTTCCTCAGCCTCATGTAGACAGCTACTACCTGCCCGTGACGTGTTCAGAGATACTCAGGAACCAGGTAGTACATATGCCCATGCCATTGAGAGGCAGTAGTGAAGGTATATTGTTTAATTTCTTTTTTGTCTCTGACCCAACACCACTAGACTGTAAGCTCCATGGGGGCCATTTGCAGGCATGTTTACCACACACTCCAGCATCCAGTACAGTGATGGGCCTTGAATTTGATAAATATTTGTGAAATGATGGGTGTCTGTAGTTCCATTCACTTGTCCTCTTTTTCACTTCTCTGGGTTCTTTTCAAACTACCTTAGTCTGCATTTATTTGATCCCCCATGTTTTGGTAAAGCTGTCTTTGAGAAGTGAATATTTTTTATCCCCTATTCCTATTCCAACTGAAAAGTATTCCAAAATCTTTAACCAGCCATGGCAGGCCATGGCAGGCAGAACCGTATTCTTTGCTTCTTTCTAAACTGAAAAATTGCTTTTTGGAAATTAATAGCTTCAATAATGTATGCTGTTTAACTGTCTCAACTATATAGGTCTTGAAAACCAAGTAAGAGTACTTGATGCTTCATTCACAGAGTTGCTTAATTTGGTTTCTGGTGCAAAACTAGTGTGAGCTTCTGCCTTTAACTTGACCATCAGGGTTTTGCTGAGCAGGGGCAATTTATTGGGACTCATTTGTGTCCCACAGTACAGCTGATCCGAGCCTCCTTTGCTTTGCAGGAATCGATAGCAGGTACAATGGAGGCTGCAGAGAGCTGGCGAACTATCTTCTGTTTGGTTTGTACAATCAAAATACAAGTGATTTTGAGAAAACAGGGTTTTCTGAAGAAGTTCTAGATGGTAAGTATATATAGTATTAAGTAGTATGCTCCTGTTAGTAACCTGCTGGTTGATACAAGATTAGTGACAAGTAGTTTTCAGAATATGTTTACTGGGTTAATCAGCTTTAGAGGGAAAAGTGCATATCAGTTTGGCTTTATATCTTCTTGGCAAGGTACTAGTTTTCCTCTCAATTGCCCACTGCCTTTATGTGCTGAGAGGTTCAGATTATGTGCTGTTGTCCTGCGAAAGCACATTCAGTTGTGGATAAAGGATGAGCCTGCAGGCTACTCCTACAAGGAAGACTTCATGTGGATCTTCAGCTTAGGAACAAAGGCTCTTTGTCCAGCTCTGTCTTTGGGAATTGTTTTCTGTGTGACTTTAATTCATGACGATGCCCATGATTACAATGGAGGCTTTCTGCTTACATTCCCCTTTCTTCAGCTCTGAGACACTCTCCCTGTGTTGATGCTGTTGTGGGCTGATGCCCAGGAGCTGTCTCTGATATCACATACTTAGCATCATGACTTGTCTGCCAGATGGATCCAGAGACACAGGAATAGACAAATCAAACTGAACAAGAGACAGGCAGCTCTTGTGAAGCAGCTGGGAGTGCATGAAAGCCAACATCTGATATTGAATATTGATATTGAAGTCATCTTGCAGTGGATGTAGTGCAGTGGTTTTAAAGTGGGGGCAGTTTTATTCCCCGAGGGACATTTGGCAATATCTGAAGACATTTTTTGATTGTCACAACTGGGCAGAGTGGCTACTAAACATCTACAGTGCACATGGACAGCCCCCCACAACAAAGAATGATCTGGTCTAAACTATCAATAGTTCTAAAGTTAAGGAACCCTGGTCTACTGTATGTGAAAATTTTTCTGTAGTAAAATCCTTAACAGTGTTTATCCTTATAAATTGACTAGATTTTCTTTTTATTAGGAAGTGCAGAAGGAGCAGGCTGCATTTATGACTTCCATTAAATTTCTTTCAATTTCAAATTTAGTTTCAGAGTTTGATTTTTAAAAATGCTTCTTTATGTGGGGCACCTGGATCAGTTAAGCGTCTGCCTTTGGCTCAGGTCATGATCCCAGCATCCTGGGATCAAGCCCTGCATTGGACTCCCTGCTCAGCGGGGAGCCTGCTTCTCCCTTTCCCTCTGCCCCTTCCCCTGCTAGTGCTCTCTCTCTCTCTCAAGTAAATAAAATCTTTTTTTAAAAAAATGCTTCTTGGGGCGCCTGGGTGGCTCAATCTTTAAGCGTCTGCCTTCGGCTCAGGTCATGATCCCAGGGTCCTGGGATCGAGCCCCACATCGGGCTCCCTGCTCAGCAGGAAGCCTGCTTCTCCCTCTCCCACTCCCCCTGCTTGTGTTCCCTCTCTCGCTGTGTCTCTCTCTGTCAAATAAATAAATAAAATCTTTTAAAAAATTAAATAAATAAAAAATGCTCCTTTATGCTGTACAATATCTACTGGTTTGAAAGAATTCATCTTGGAGTGCCTGGGTGGCTTAGACTCTTGATCTCAGCTCGGTTCTTGATCTCGGGGTTGTGAGTTTGAGCCCTGCATTGGGCTCCATGCTGGGTGTGGAGCCTACTTTAAAAAAAAAAAAAAAAAAAGAATTCATCTTGGCAGTCACTTAGAATTATAAAAAGACAGATGCTCATACCAGCCACAGATTTCACTGCAGCCAAAGTTGCTAAGGATATTGTAGTACTGAAATTAAGGAAATAGTTTAAATCTTCACAGGTGTGGGTTTTTTTTTGCTTATCATTGTCTTTATCCTGCCATCTGGCACAATGGGTGCTTATGAAATGAGCATTTTCTTTGAATTAATAAATCATAAATGAATTAAAAATGAATTAGTAAATTCATTTTTTAAATCCAAGTAGTTGGCAAACTGAGATCACTGGATTTATACATCTACATTTTGATCTCTATATGAGAGGAAAAGAGGCCAACACGAAGGATTTATTAAAAAAAAAAAACTTAAGGTCGCCTGGGTGGCTCAGATGGTTGAGTGTCTGCCTTCGGCTCAGGTCATGGTCCCAGGGTCCTGGGATCGAGTCCTGCATCGGGCTCCCTGCTCCTTGGGAGCCTGCTTCTCCCTCTGCCTCTCTCTCTCTTTCTCTCTCTCTGTCTTTCATGAATAAATAAATAAAATCTTTAAAAAAAAATAAAAAAATAAAAAAACTTAAAATAGTTTACATATTCATCCAATTTTCTTACACTTTCATCTTTTACTGTTAATTTTGTTCAGAGCAATGACATCAGAGTCCTATGAGATTTTGAGAATGCTTAATTAGGCTTAGTAGTTGTTGCATTATTTCTTTTACTGGATCATAATTCTTTGTGGAGTTTTACACATTAGTGTAGAACATAAACTGGAAGCCCCCCTCAGGCTCTCCATGTGACTTCAAACTCTCATTCCTCAGCAGGCAATCTACAAGTGATTCAGAGCAAGGCTCTTAGAGGGCCTGTATGAAGAAGACCAACAGGATGAGGGGTGATCCCTGTCCCATCCCTTGCCACCTTGTGATTCTAGTGCTTAACTGAGAGTCAGCAGTAAATAGGCTGCTCTATACCGTGTTCCCTAGAACACCTGGGTCTGACCAGGTATGGGGCACAGAGTGATTTTTGGAAAACCAAAGGTCAGCATCATGGAGCTTTATTTCAAGAGGCCACCCAGTGGTGTGGTCAGCTGCAGTCTGTATTCATTGGGCTTAGGTTTTTGTAGAATATGGGCTGTCACACTGTGTTACTGTGTTGGCATTGCCCTAAACCTGCTGTTTTAGGTGCTCCCTGCCACCATGCTCCTCTCACTTCTAGCCACCTCCTCCAGCAACTTCCCTAGCATCATCTTGTTAGAGAGATGCCTGAGATGGTTCTGCTTTCTGAGGAGCCATGCAGTGGAGCTCTGCTCTTTTTCTGGAAGTATGACTGCTTTCTTTCTCAGTCTTCAAACTGCTTTAATATTCCTGCCCCATTTCATGGCTCTTGTTACCTTACCTAGGTTTATTTGCACCCTTGGGATTGTTTTATTTATTTGACCCCCCGACATCCATCGTTCTTCCTTAAGTCTGTGAGCTGCTGATCTATTTATAGAAACCTTGTCCACTTGCCTCTGCTTCCTTCCTCCCAGCCTTTCCTGTGTACAGAGTTCACCCCCTACATAGTAACCCTTCCCAGAGCTGAACAGTGATGTCCTCAGGCCCATGGTTGCTTTGAGTCAACAGCCAAGAGCTTTAGACACTGATGTCTGCAGAAGAACCGTCACTGGCTATATTTGATATTTCCTTTAGGAAAGTAAGGTGGCTTTAGGCTATGGAGTTTCCATTTGGTATTTATCTCTGTAGCAAAGTACACAGCTAAGTCTGGTACCACAGATTTGACGGTGTTGAACTTTGAGAAGCAGAACATCCCGAAAGCGGTTCTTTTGACTTATTCTGTGCGAGCATTGTCGTAACCAGAGGGCCACAGTGGTGGGAGCATTGCATGGGAACTAGAAAATCCTTGCTGTCCATACGTGAGTGTTACACAGTCCCTTTGAGGCACATTGCCTAGTTATAAAGAACTTTCAGTTTAGAGTTTTGTTACATTGTCTCTGAAATAGCTTTAATGGTATTATTCATTATGTGAGCAGAAAATGTGTAAAGGAAATGACTTTGACAATGTTGTGATTTAATTTTGTTTTCCTTACAGATGTAATTATATTGATTAAATCAGATAGTGTCCACCTGTACTGTAATCCTATAAACTATCGCTATCTCTTACCTTATGTGGCACATTGGAGAAATCTGCATTTCCACTGCATGACTGAAAATGAGGTAAGGAGAGAAGATAGAATAGGCACTTAGAGACGTTCTAAGGATAGTCTTTCAGAAAAGTATACATCTAGAACAGGAGGCCCCTTAAAAAAATCAAATTGCAGGATGTCATTACACAAAAAAAGCTATTTGTTTTAGTGGAACTTTTCATAATTCATTATGAGGCTATCTTATAGATAAATTGTTTACCTGACAAAAGGGACTCTTCAAATTGGGACCTAGTCATAGGCTTGTGACCCTAGCTTCCTGTTCTCCTTATTACCAGCCTGCACCCATTCTCTTGGATGAGTGCAATGGACTGCCTCAGGAGAGTTTGATAAGCTTTTGTAACATTTCCATGTTTGGATTTTTTGGTATTTGTTTCCTTTTGGGTTCTTTTCAAGGGTTTGGCTGGAAATCAAATTGGGATTTGAGATTTAGGGTTTCATGGAAATGGTGACCTAATACGGGTAAAAAACCCTTCTTTCTTTTCTTTTTTTTTAAGTTAAAGGTGTTTACTGTAAATCCTAAGTGATTACTAAAATAACACAACAGACTTATAATCCAACAAAAAAAAATAAAATAGAATCGTAAAAAATACTGATATATAGTTGACCCTTGCACAAAATGGGAAGAACCCTTCTTTCCATGTGAGCTTTTGGGGAATTTTTGAGGCAGGTTTTATCTCTTGCATTCAGGTATCTGCCCAGCAAACACAAGAAGTTGGCTTTGGAAACACCCTCTTGGGTGCAGTCCTCTATAAATGTCATTTGAAATAACTCTGATAAAATACCAAGAAAATAGGGGATTTTGCATGATGTCTCCTTAGAGCCTGTTTTCCTCTCAATTTCCCTCTTCAGTATGAAGATGAGGAAGCTGCAGAAGAATTTAAAATTGCCAGCTTTGTGGACATGGTTCGAGACTGTAGTAGAATTGGCATTCCTTACAGCTCCCAAGGTGGGTATCTGACAGCAAGCCATATTAGAACCTTGCTTGGATGATGTGTGAACCCAGCATTTCTGATGCTCCTTCCATTGGAGGCATTCAGCTGGGAAACCCATTGATTTATTTTCACTAAAGGCAGAGAATCAAGCAGAATGAAATTTGGGGATTTTTCTGTGAAAGCTGGTACTCATAACTGAAATTTCTATAACAACACAGCAGGCCATCTAGTCAGATAGAAAAACTGATAAGGGATTTACCACAGTTGCCATCTAGCTGTGCCACTTAATTGTGTGGAGAGTATAGCTGTGGAGCCTCTTGGTAACAAGAAGTAGTAATTCAGGCAGCTGCTAAAAATATGCTGACAGTGAGGCTCAAAAATGATGTGTAAAAATAAAGGAAAATAATCCACAAGTTTAGCCGTGGTTATATCTTATTTTTAAAAAACTTTGCGCATTAGAACTATTGCTATACGAAAGGAAAATTTTTGATTTGGTAATTTTCCCTTGAGGATGTTGATTGGCTCTGTTTCTTAAAGGGGAAGGGCCAAGTTTGGGTCTGTTAATAATTATATCCACTAAGTGATGCAAGTCAGATGTAATAGGCCACTATTTATTTACTAACTTACTTGCTCACTTAGGAAACCAGAATGTGAAACTATACTATAGAGAAATCTGAATTTATGTAACTTGTTATGGTTTGAATTTTCTTTGACTTTCATTTTGTATTTCTAGTTTTAATATGTAACCATTTTATCTGTTTCACTTTTATTTTGCTAAATGTGGCCATGGTGAATTTGAGAGAGATGATGCATGTCTAACCACATTAGATCAGGTTTAGACTGTTATATCCAGGATGGTTATTTGATACATGTTGTTTTATTTGATTCCTCTAGGTCACTTGCAGATATTTGATATGTTTGTAGTAGAGAAATGGCCAATTGTACAGGCCTTTGCACTTGAGGGCATTGGAGGGGATGGATTTTTTACCATGAAATATGAGGTATGTGTGAAAAGCAGTATGCCTGGCTTTTGTCTGCCACTTGCTGTCTTTATGAAGGGCCCCCACAGCGTGAGTGTGTATCGTTATAACACTCTGAAAAGCTAGCAGTGATCTCTCAAGAGCATGGAGCAAGTTAAAAAACTTGAAATGTAAAATAGATGCCGTGCAGAGCTAGTCCCTAAACTAGACTCCTGTGTCCTTTCTTCTAGGAGTTTCTCTCTGTCCTCCTTTCTCTCTTTTCCCCATTCTGAGTCCATTGTTCTTCCAGTCTACTCCTGTAACACCCTAAGCTGATTCCTCTTATAGCTTTCTTTGTCCTATGTTATACATTTTTCACACACCCCTACTCATGTACCCACCCACCCTTGGTCTCTGGATCGAAAGCTCCTTGAGAACAAAAACAGTCGTTTCATTGTTGTTGTTTGTATCTTAGAAATTCATATAATTTGCGGGGCGCCTGGGTGGCTCAGTCGTTAAGCGTCTGCCTTTGGCTCAGGTCATGATCTCAGGGTCCTGGGTTTGAGTCCCACATAGGGCTCCCTGCTCGGCGGGAAGCCTGCTTCTCCCTCTCCCCCTGCTGTGTTTCCTCTCTCGCTGTGTCTCTCTCTGTCAAATAAATAAAAAGAAATTCATATAATTTGAGAACTATTCAAGAGCAATGAAAAGGACAGTGCAGAATTTTGTATAAGTACAGCATACTAGAGAAATAAAAGGGTTATCTTTTGTGTTACAGACAGTATCTTTTATTTCAATATTCCTTCTATCTAGGAGATGACTCATGAATATTTGTTAAGTGAATTAATGAATGAGTCTGGTAGAGGGGGTCACCCAGAGTGCATATTAAGGAGGATGGCCTGGTAGGTTAGCAGCATCACCATAGGCATCTCCCAATGAAATGACCTGCCCCCAGCACAGAAACAGGGAGTGAGCATTGACATGCTCAAAATGGGAACATACTATTAGGCATAGAGTAGGAAGTATGGCCCAGGGCTAATTACTATCCCTCCTTCCAAGAAGTAGCAGTGTCCCTAGGAAGTAAATGGATTCTTGCCTGGTGAACCCTGTAATGTGGAAGGAACATGGGATGTAGGGTTGAAGAGAAGCACACCACTTGGTCTCCACTTTTCCTGCTCCAAAACTATAGTATTCTCACATTGACTATAAGTAGCAGAACTTCAACAAGGCTGTGGGAGCTGCCCCTGCTAGGAAGTAATGCTAATTTATTTATTTATTTATTTAAGAGAGAGAGAGAGTAAGCGAGCACGAGTGGTGGGGGAGGAGACTCCCTGCTGAGTGTGGAGTCTGACGCAGGTTTCCATCTTACCACCCATGAGATCACAACCTGAGCCAAAACCAAGAATCAGGCATTCAACCAACTGAGCCACCCAGGTGCTTCATTGCTCTCTAATTTAGAAGAACAGGGGCATAGGGCGCCTGGGTGGCTCAGTCAGTTAAGCATTCGACTCTTGATCTCAGCTCAGCTCTTGATCTTAGCTCAGGTCTTGATCTCAGGGTCTTGAGTTCAAGTCCCACATTGGGCTCCACACTAGGCTCTGTGCTAGGTGTGGAGACTACTTAAAAAAAAAAAGGGAGGGGGTGCCTGAGTGGCTCAGTTGGTTAAGCGTCTGCCTTTGGCTCAGGTCATGATCCCAGGGTACTGGGATCAAGCCCCACGTTGGGCTTCCTGCTCAGTGGGGAGCCTGCTTCTCACTCTCCCTCTGCCCTCTGTCTGCCACTCTCTCTCTCTGTCAAATAAATAAATAAAATCTTTAAAAAAAAAAAAGAAAAGGCAGTACACTAGGAGGCTGCAGTGTTCATACAAACCAGATGAGGCAGGCCTTCTGACTCCTGCCTTAAGGTGCATTACACTGTGCAGACACATCCAAAAGGAACAAAATGCCCTTCCTTTCTTTAAGTAGGCTCCACACCTAGCGTAGGGCTTGAACTTATGACCCTGAGGTGAAGAACCTCACGCTCTACTGACTGAGCTAGCCAGGTGCCCCAACTAAATCCCTTCCAAAAAACCTTTACAAGATAATGTAGATCTTTCCTGTAGGGTAGTGTTTAATGGGGTGGAGTGGGCAATAGGAGGAAACTGCACACATAATATAGTGAGGCTACTGTAAGTCTTCTCTCAAGATCCCTTTCTCTAGATCCTGCCTTTCTTTGTAGCTGCTAATTGTCATTCTCTCAAATTCTTTCCTTTTGTCTCCCTCTCATTCTCCCCCCACCTCCGTTCCCTTCCTTACCAGCCTTTAGGGTATGGAACAGTACTCCACTCTGAGTCACACACCAGAAGCCTGATAACTGCCTGAGCCAGAAAGACTCTTGAGTCTTTTGAAGGCCAAGAGAAGGAGAACTACAGACACTTAAAATTCAATTTTTAAAAATTCTGTCTTATTATATGTCTATACCCAGAAGAAAGTCATTAACCCAGAGGAGGCTTTGTACACTCAGATGTACTAGGTGCCAGCATGAGAAAGGAAGCCAGACCCACATAAGCTTTAACTTGGCATTTAGGCTGGGCCAAACTGAATTACAGGTATAGAGAACTCTTCCTGGGAAGCAGCATAGGGAAATTCCTCTGATAGGGCTTTCCCTGCCTCCAACTTCCTCCTTCTTAACTCCCCAGCTGCTGGAACTGTCACCTAGTAATGTAAATCTACATCAACTACCTCCTCAAGGAGAGAATTCTAGTAGCAAACTTCTGAATAATGAGAGTAACCATAGAACAAGCATTCATTTACCTTTTTATGGACAAACATAAGATCTTTATATTGAAAGGTGGAATAAGACTTATGAAAAGATTCAACGAAATATAGGAAAGAAACCGTAGCATATTAGATGCAGAGATAGATCAGCATTCTTTTTAAAAAGATTTTCTCCAGGAAATAGAATAAAAAATGAGAAAAATATCTCTTTTGTTCCTTTTAAGAATGGATTTTGTAAAAAGAAATAAATGGTAGGTAGAGCACACAAAATTAAAAAGGGAGATAGATGACATAAGGAAATATAAGTCTCAAAATTATTAGTAAAATTAAAGTTTGCATTTAAAATTAGAAATCGGGGCACCTGGGTGGCTCAGTTGGTTAAGTGACTGCCTTCACCTCAGGTCATGATCCCAGGGTCCTGGGATCGAGCCCTGCATCGGGTTCCCTGCTCAGCCGGAAGCCTGCTTCTCCCTCTCCCACTCCCCCTGCTTGTGTTCCCTTTCACGCTGTCTCTCTCTCTCTCTGTGTCAATTAAATAAATAAATAAAATGTTTAAAAAATAAAAATAAAATTAGAAATCAGATTCAGCACCTTCAAAAAAATCAAATCAGTTTATGCTTGAAAAGCTGTTCCAGAATACAGAGGAAGGAGCCAAATATATTAACTCAGTCTTTTGGAATTTAGAACATAAGGGAGTAGAGAACCTGAATAACTGCCTCTTGCCTGTCTGCTCTCCCTAAAAAAACTTTCTAGTAGTTGACAAGCTCTGCTGAAAGCATAAAACTTCCAATTAGCCTTTCCATTTGGAAGTAAAAACAAGCAACCAAAGATCACCAGACATTTGATTAAATACCTATAACTTGAAAAGATCGAGATTAAAAAAAAAAAAAAAGATGGATTGGATAAGACCCAAAGGTAATTAAGATATAGAGCAAAACTTAAAGCACAAAACTCTCATTAGGATGCCCAGACAAGTAAGATTTGGTGACCATAGAACAAGTGTTATGGGGTGATAAATTAACATAAAGAAAATAAGAGCTCAAAATAAAATAAAAATAACTAAAAAAAGAAAATAAGAGCTCTGGGAAATTGTGATTGATAATAGAAGGTTTGGGAGGTAAAGTTAGGAAATTCTCTAAAAATATAAAAAAGTCAAGGAGATAGAAAATATGAGAGAAAAGTTAAAAGACATAGAGAACTGATCCAAGACGTCTGATATCCAACAAGTGAGAGTAACAGAAAGATAGAGCAGAGATATCAGAAGGGAGGAAATTTTTTAAAAAGAATAAACATTTTCAGTGATAAAAAGAATGAAAACTTTTAAATTAAATGACTTACCAAGTATAAATGGGAAGGAAAAAGCCTTAAGTCTGTCTATAAGAATATCGCATTTCTTCCAGGAAGAAAAAAATAAGTCACCTACATAAGACAACAGGAACCAGATTTCTCTTCTTCCCAAAACAATTCAACCTAGCCAAACCAAAAGAACAAACAAAAAACAAAATATGTGAAGCAATGGTTTTCAAGACAATAGACATCAGATAATGAAAAATATTGATTCCCTGAGAGAAATAGACAAGGTCAGCCATATGATTGCACTAGTTTACTACTTTGAGAAAATTTCTAGGCCCATGGCACAGGGAGGGGGTACCCAGGTGAATCCCAGTGTATTTCCTAAGTTGAGAAGATACAGTAGAGAGTCTGGTGAGAGCAGGGCAGCTAGAGTGCCAAAAAGGAAGGTGCCCAGAGAGAACTCCAAAGATCTGCCAAGATTCCCCTACCCTTCCCCCATCCCAAGTATTCAAAAGAGTATCAGTGCAAAAAAAAAAAAAAAGAGTATCAGTGCATTCATGTGTCAGGTAACTGCCAAGGGCAGAGTTTAAAAAAAAAAACAAAACTGAAAAGTAATCAAGAACAGTGCCTGATACATGCTAAGGGCTGGGAACAGTACCTGTTCCCACCAGTTAGACTGAAAAAAACACATAATTCAGAGGGCGTTGAGTAGAGCCCTCAGAAGGGTATTCAAAAGATGTACCAAAGTTTCTGTAAAGAGAGCTTCCTTGAATGGGACTGCATTTATTAATATGTATTGGTTCTAATATAACTGATAAAATTTTGATTTATTCTAACACTGAGTTTTCACCAAAATAGTCATTTATGATACTTTTGGTTGTCATAGTGATATTGACTCATTTATTTCAATGTTTTTACTCTTACGTTGCAGTTACAGGATGTGAGTTTGAGTCTATGGAATGTCTACAGCAAGATGGATCCTATGTCTCTGGAGAGTTTGCTTTCAGAAGTAAGAAGCCAAATTGTATTTGATGTTTACATATTAGAGCCAGCTCAGTTATCCACTAACGGTATTTAACTTGAAGAAATACAAGATATATTTTTGTTTGAATGGTTTCTTCCCTGATTGTTATCTTGAACTCCTCGGGGGTAGAAGGAGACCTGGAAAAGGATAGTGCCTCTTTCGCTCTGAGGAAACCTCACCTGAGGCGAGACCAAGGCTGCCTACCAGGGTTGACGTTTCCACCTAAAAACATTCTGTTGGGCTGGACTTCAGGAAAACAATACAGACGCTGTCTTTTTGCACTCTTTCCCTGAGATGAAATGATTAAAAAAATGGGGTTTGGCTTAAAAGAATCAAGAATTAGAGCAGAGGTCAGCAAACATAGGCTTTGTATGCCCTCCGTCTCTACTAGAACTATGTTAGAACTACTCAGCGGTACCATTGTAGCCTGAGAGCAACCATGGACAATGCTTAAATGGATGGGTGTGTCTGTGTGTTCCAAGGAAACTTTATTTACAAAAATATGTGGCCTGCCCACAAGCCATAACTTGTTGACTGCTGCATTAGAGTGTCAGGCATTAATATCTGAACTTGGAAGAAAGCATAAAGTTGGGTGGAGCAATTTCCAGTAAGGAGCAACAGATAAAACTGAGGCTACAGGAACAGATGCTGTGATTAAGCAGCTCAGCAGTGTCTCTCAGTGGCCATGGCTAGATATGCATGGAAAAAGAATAGTGTGTAGCCTTTTAATTAAGTTAGTTATGATATTAAAACCCAACAAAAGTAACAAAAATGGAAACTACAGACCAGTTTCATTTGTCAGTGTTACTGCCTGTATTTTTTTTTTTAAGATTTATTTATTTATTTATTTGAGAGAGTGGAAGTGAGAAACAGAGCACTAGTGGAGGGGAAGAGGGGCAGAGGGAGAGGGAGAAGCAGACTTCTCACTGAGTAGGGAACCCAATACGGGGCTTGATCCCAGGACCCCGGGATCATGATCTGAGCTGAAGGCTGATGCTTAACCTACTGAGCCACCCAGGCGCCCCTTTAGTGCCTGTATTTTAAGTAAAATATTAGCAACTAGAATCCAGTATCATTTTAGAGTATTTTCTGATGAAGTAGAGCTTAATAAGGGTGCAATATTTAGTTTAGTATAAAGAAATCTATTAATGTAATCACTGTACTAGTTTTTCTCCTTGGAACATTTGTGATGACTCCATAGATGCCTAAAAGGCATTTGATAAAATTGAACATCCATTCTGTTTAAACATTTCTAATTAAATAGGAATACAAAAGAAAAGTAAACCCTGAATTTTTTGTACTTTGCAAAAACCTAATCATCATCATTAATCCATGGCTAATCTAATTATGGAAAAAAGTGAACATGCAAAAATTTATAGCATAAGAATGCAAAAATGTTAAAGAAAATTTAACCACAAAGAAAGAAGAGAGATAAGTAGTTTAGGAGTTCCTACAAGTGTCTGAGACCCATACCCCACTTGCATGCAGTACCCTGAATGTGAGGATGCTATACATCACACATGGAGGCTAAACATAGCACTGTATTTTTAAGAACATTGCAAGCATCTCTGGAGTCAGTTAAGAGGGACCACTCAGAAGGACATTTTTAATTGCACCTCAGCCAACAATGACATCTTATAGCTGAAGAAGCAATAGTGGTAATCACCATGGGCTGTAGACCAGGCCCTTCCTGGTTTTCTGACTTCCCATGAGCAAAATTGACGAAGTTCAGTCCCTACCCTCAAAATATTTTAATTTAGTGATTAACAAATGCACAGATGCGGTGAGACCTAGACCCAGATCAATTACAGGTCAGAATTACTTAGATCCCGGGCGCCTGGGTGGCTCAGTTGTTAAGCGTCTGCCTTCGGCTCAGGTCATGATCCCAGGGTCCTGGGATCAAGCCCC